TTAATCTTTTCTAGATCTATACGAATACTATTAACTCTAACGATAAAGCCTAAGAAGTCGACCTCCTTATAGAAGAACTTATGCTTCTTAAGTAAAGTCTTAAAGCCTAAACTACTAAGGCGTTTGAGTACCTCTATACACTATAGTCATCACTAGTGCAACTAGTAGCCAAGATCTCTTTCTAGCTATGCTTTTAAGGGCTAGTCCTGCTCGAAAACCAGTGGCTAGTGCAAACGATCGAATGACTGTCATAGAGCAAATACAGCACTCTATACCTTTGGATCTGAGGCCGGCACGACATCAGCAACATATGTCGCTGCAGCGCTGGCTTTGCCAACACATCTTCAGAAGCTCCCAGGCAGCCTTGAGGACTGGTATCGCATGAATATGCCGTTGTTTCACGCTCTCAATGTCTCCAAGCCAGGGACAACGCCAGGCGCTGGCATTCGCCAAAAAGCGTCTTATTGAGGCATACCGTCCTTTCCTCACACGTGAGTACTCGTTGGTCAGCGCTGCCATGATATGGATCAATGTCAAGATCTCATGGGCCCAAGTTCCAACGAGACCGCGTTGTATACGTTCATGCTTTTTGATCAATTAGGAGGATGATGAAGCTACATCGAACTCCCAGATGTGTACATCGTCCATGGAGAGGCAACAGGCATCCTTCTGGGAGCATCAAAACGAAGCGTGGCCAGATCCGCACGCCGTGACATGCTTCTTGACTCGTGATGCGACAGTCGTGTGCAGTCAATTCTCAGGGCGCTCCGGCGCAGCACTTACGTGAGGAATGTTGGCTTGCGAATTGCTGTGTGAACCGATTGATTCGCTCGGCAAGAACCCCGTCATAGCGATCAGCTGTAGGGCCGTCGATTACAGGAGGTCTTTGTTCGATATTTTTGCTCCTCAGGCAAAGATAGTAGCCTTATTCATGAGGCTGAGCCGCTCATGCTCGGTCATCGCCTCAGGTTCAACCCAGCACTTGCATCCTCCACTCCTACCTATACTGGCGTCATATCGGGGCCGATATCATGCTACGGCAATGAGCGTTGCGGGTCCTCCACAATGTGTGTCGAGGGAGCAGTGCACAAGGCATGAGAGTCTTTCGTCTGGTCGTCTGCTTGCCTGCCTGCCACGGAGCATTTCCGCGGACAATTGACAAAACCTGCTCCTCCCGCCTTTACCACCTGTGAACATCGAGGCTACTCTGACTGGATGCTGTGGCCATGGGCAATGCGAGCTCAGGAACCACATCCACTCGACGTGCAGCATGACACGATCTTCAATGCTTGCGAGAGTCCACAAGGTTTCACCCACTGACAGAGCCATCGCAGAGACTGATTCTTCTGGCCATCAATCAGGCATGATTTATCTGCCCAGGCCGCATCGAAAATGCAAGTGGGTCTGGTCTACGGCAGAGAATCTACTTGTTCTGCCCACTGATGGCAGTGGGGCGGTCCACGTTGCGTACAATAGTACCACCAACGGCTCCTTCAGCCCTACGATGACATCACGGCAATGTGAAGGTGACGGTCAAGAGTGATAGTCAAGCATCGCCTTGCGCCGCCTCGTGTAGGAGCCTTCGTGACCGGAGCGTCCACGCACACAAGACAATGGTTTCTCTCACGCGGATAGCAGTCCCTTGCCGCTTTTGCCTTCCTTACAAACATCGCCAGGCCCAGAATGTCTCCGGCACATTCAACTGGACTTCTCTAACCGCTTGACAGACCTTGCAGTGGGTACCATGTTACGAAGGCAAAGAATGTGCTCGCTTCTCGAGACCTATGGACCCGGCGGATCCAATCATCAACGAAACCGTCGCACTCGCCATCATCCGCTCCCCGGCGCAAGTACCTAGGTCTGACTCGCGATATGGTGGCTCCATCTTCATGAATCCAGGCGGACCGGGGTCCTCTGGAGTCGGTATATTGAGATGGGCAGCTTACGAGTTTCAGTCCAAGATTGGCGGACCCAAATATTTTGACTTGATTAGCGGGGATCCCAGGGGTATCGGCTCGTCGATGCCACTTCCTGTGTGCTTCCCGAATAACCTCCAGCGTCAACAATATTGGCTTAAGCAGGAAGTGATTGGCGGGATCAACAGTTCACCCTATGCATTGCAATATGGATTTGCTGTCGCGGAGGCTTTCGGCCAGGCATGCAACTCGACTATCATGCGATACATGACTACACTTCTGACCGTGCAAGACGTGATCGCCATTGCCCATGCGCTAGAGCCCAACGTCATCGAGCCTTTGATAAACTACTGGGGCATCTCATATGGGACGTTCGTCGGCAATACTTTCGCGTCCGTGTATCCGCACCGGCTCGGAAGGACAGTCCTTGACGGTGTGCTCGGGACCGACGACTATCTCTCCCCCGCCTGGCATACAGGCCTAGTCAATACCTCCGCCATCTACAGCCATTCTCGCAGCTGTGCCGCGACGCTGGACCGAGTAAATGCGCGATATGGGCCAACGATACGAGTGCTATCGGTAGCAAGATCGACGATCTGCTGAACAGCATATCCACAAACCCACTTCCGGTCTGAAACCAGCGTGGCTATTCAGCCGATGTGCTCACGGTGCAAACAGTACAGACCTTGATCTTCCAGGATATGTATTTTCCGCCTGTCCGGTGGCCAGAACTCACTCAGACATTACATGATCTTATGCAAGGCAATACCACACTGGCGTCGGCGTCCTTGATGACACTGAGCAACTCTGACGCTCCCCTGCCTGCCGAAGTCATCCCTCCGACCAATTACTCATGGTCTAATCCTCTTCCTGCTGAGGCTTTGATCAACGGCGATGACTCTGCGCATATCATCGCTTGTACAGACGGAAATTCAATCAACAATTGGACAACCAGGGATGCGCAGAAGTATCTCGGCGAGATCGATGCTTTGTTTCCCCTAGCGGCGCACACTTGGCCGCAGACTACAACAACATGTATGCGTTGGCCTTCGTCAAACGTGCGCCAGAGCATGTTCGGTTCACTGGCTCTTTCGGATCGAAGCTATCATCGTCTTCGCCTGGGTCGTCGCCGATCTTGTTCGTCAGCAATCAGGCGGACGCAGTATGTCCGTTGATGGAAGCTGAGCAGGACAGTGCGAAGCATGAGAGAAGTGTTATCTTGTGAGTAACATCGCTTTGACAGTGCCTTGGATCTGGCTAATCGGCCTGCTTGTCACGTCTTGGCAAACGCAGATCTATGGCCATTCAAGCCATGTTTTCAACGAGAACCAATGCGTATGGCGCCGTTATAGGCAGTATTTCCAGACGGGAGAGCTGACTTCGCTAGGGACAGTGTGTCCAAGAGACCCATGGGCATGGGAACTGCATCCGCCTGGTAGCTGAGTGCCTGTTTCAATCCGGATCCGACAATACTGCAGTGTAATGAACTGGTTCTCGAGGAGAGAAGTGCTGCACCTACGAGAACTCATGAACATGATGTATGAGACGATCTAAGTCAATAGGTATAAATTGCTCCACACAGCATTTGCACTCTTACAGATGCGTCGTACGTACTACACTTGGGATATCAAACCATGAAACGTGCAACATGCGCCCCAAAGTCACCGAATTACGATATCTCTTCAATGCTAGGACTAGGGGATGGAAAGGCAAGTCTTTCCCAAATTGACGACAAACAACACATACGCCAAGATATCTCGTCTCTACCCAGATATTGGCTTCAGTGAACGACGGCGACACCTGCACATCGAGTACCCACCCCATAACTCATGCTTGACCGTATGTACTCTCGCAGTACTGCTTCAATCCACTCACCCAGTCCTGGAACTTCTCCTCCAGTAATTTTTCGTACAACCACTTGACCACGTATGCCAACATCCCACCTTGGCACTCCTGCAGGTGGATACAGTCAGATCTCTTGGCTTTGATCCCATCGTAGATAATGTCTGATTGAGTGCTCACCCATGTCCTGACTTCGCACGTATTGTCGCTGAACGCGATCACCTCGTGGAATCGCTCGACCTGAAGAAGACAGGACTGCAGTCCGCCATGATCTATCCAGGTGACGCGATATACTTTACTCTGATCAGGACAGAAGCAAAGATCATCTTCTGACATGCTCCTAGAGATGTAGTCGCTTGGCCGCTCTGGCGAAGATATACTGGAGACCTTCAAGCTTGCAGACGTTTTGCTATTCGGTTTGGTGGAGTCCATAACTACGTGAAAGGTGAAGAGAGTATCAAGCTGTAAGCGCCTTGAATCGTTTTTGACACGGTCAGGCTGGGAGTCGATTGTAACCTCTGGGGCGAACGTATTCCAGCGCGCATAATTGGGCGTATCGAGTAGCGCGTCGAAGACACGCTGCGCTGGTGCATTGATATGGATCCAAGCAGATACTGGAAGGATGGTACACTCCCGTGGTACGCGGATGGATGTCACGCCTTGTGGTGGCGGCCAAGAGTTGTCGCCCATCTCGCAGTGTTTAGTAGCTGCAGATGTTACAGAAACAGTATGCTGTTGAGTATCAAATCAGGAGTATGGGAAAGCTGAGGCTGATGTTTAGTGAGGTTTCAGCTGTCGTATGTCAGCGTTGCATGACGCTGGGCCGCAGGGTCAACCTTCTTGCAGGTGATGATTGAAGTGCATTCGATTCTTCACGTGTAGAGTCCTGGAATGACTTATCACACACTATTACTGCGTATTCGCTGTCATCAAAGACTATGACAGCTGTGACGCTACAAATCAGTATCATCAACGATGGTATCCTTGTTCTCGGTCGTGTGCTTTTCCTCGGTACCAATAGCCCGTACGATATTTGCTTCCTGTTTTGCAAGAACAGCAGCTTCCTTGTAAGACATCTTCGTACCAGCATTATGCTTGATCTTGAACATAAGATCGACCTCTTCCAGAGAGAGGCCTTTGGTCTCGATGTAGAAGAGCCAGACAATTGGAAACCATGCGAAGTTGAGCACAGCGAATATGATGTAGAATCGCCAGCCAATGTTCGCGATTGCTGTTCTGGTCAGTGCACGAGGACGTAGCGTGAAAGGAGGTCTTGACGATAGCTTACCACTTGGTGTCATGAGCACAACGACGTACACAAATAGCCAGTTGGTGACCATTGCAATTGAATTGCCTATGCTTCGCATTCGGGAAGAGTTGATCTCGGACGGGTACAGGAATGGGATGCACAGGAAGGATACGCCCTATGAAGTTGTCAGTACTAGCATAAAGTCTGACCCAAAGGATGATACTGACATAGAACATGTGGTAGCCGAAAATAAACGACACCGACATAGCAAATGTAGCTTTTGTTCCAATGGCAAGACCGATAGTGGTGATGGTGAAGCAGATGCCACATCCGATCGCACCGAACAGCATGAGAGGTTTGCGGCCGAAGCGGTCAATGAGCAAGGCCATAAGGGATCCCCAGACCATGAGGGAGATGAAGTCTACGCCGGAGAGGATGAGTGCTAGGCGAGGGCTGAAGCCGAATGAGTTGGTGAGGATCACTGGGAAGTAGTAGACGACCTAAATCGTAGAGTCAGCAGCTATTGCAAAGGTTTTGTTCCTTCAAGTTAACATACCACGTTAATACCACCCATCTGCTGGAAGATCGAAGTCCCAGCACCTAGACAAATTCGTCTAAAGTTCTGCTGTTCACCACCAGAGAAGACCTCTCGCCAAGCGACCTTACCACCCGCCTTCTCTGCGGCGATAGTCTCGGAAATGATTTTCAGCTCACCAAGCACCTCGGGATCATTTATGTCCTTGTTCGCAAGTCGTGCAAGGACGTGCTGTGCTTCTGAGTGTCGATCGCGATAACACAACCAGCGAGGCGACTCCACCATGAGAGGCAATAGGGCGATGGTCAGGACAGCCCAGAAACACTGCATGGCTAGAGGGAACCGCCAAGTCACCTGACTGTTGTAGACGTAGGTCATGGCCAGATTGATCCAGTTCGTTAGAGAGATACCGAAGATCACCATGACGAGTTGGAGCGCAACGAGTTTGCCCCTATGTTGTGGCTTACTTGTCTCGGCTTGCCACATGGGCACCACGGCAGTGCTCTGGCCGATGCCTAGTCCAGCGATGATTCGACCGATGATCATCTGAGGTAGGTGGAAAGACGAAGCTTGGATAGCTCCTCCGAGTATCACCCACATACTGGACATGGCGACCGACCAGCGACGTCCAAGCCTGTCACCGAAGTAGATTGAGATGATAGCGCCGATGATGCATCCGATATCATAGGTACTGACGATTTGGCCTTGGATAGTAGGACCAGGATTATCGAACTGCCGCTCGAATGTCTGGTTGTTCAGGATGCCGCCGAAGACTCCTTGGTCCCAACCGAAGAGCATGAAGGATAGGCCGCATGTCAAGGTGATACCGGCGGTCAAGGCATGGCCTCGCAAAGGGAAAATTGCCATAGTCGAAGAGGTGCCCGGAGACTGGCAAGGCAAGGTCGCGTGGATGACAAGGATGGAGACGGCGATCGCTCGTCTTTATCAATCATTGGGCCAAAGCTGTCTCGCACCAACCTCCGTAGGACTACCCCATGGGGCGACCAGTCGCGTGGGAAAGGCTATGAGATCACGGCAATGTGCTCGGAAGGATGCTGCGGTAAAAGTGGAGGTGCCATATGTCCTGGTCGATGCTATTACGGCTACATGCGGCATCTCTACTATCAAGGAATGATCTTGGGTGCAGGTTGCAAGATCCAAACAGGCACAATCCTGCCGGCGCTGTCGATGAATGGGCAATTGGAGGCAAAAGTGGAGACACCATACCTAAAAGGGATGTCCCCGAAGCTGCAAGAGCTGCTTCCCCTGCAAATGTCAGCAACATATTAGATCAAACTACGCTACTACCGCATAGCGGGGTTTTGTAGCATCTAAGGGGGTGCCAGTACAGTAAGAGGTACGGGGTTGTTCGGGCGGGTCACTCTGCATTTCGCCTGCATGGAATCTTTTTCCGGAGTCGGCAGTCTGCTTTCTCCGCATCCAGGTCCGAGTGACGTGCACATAAAGGCGATCATGTGCCGACAACCGCGAAGATGTGGGTCTGGGACACGAGATCGAATGTGAAGGTCATGAAATGGGCGAGACGACAATAATGCTTTCGCAAGCGTCGATAGCAGAACAGGGTTCTGTTCGACATCAAAATGGCCTTTACTGCGAGATGGGGAATTCTTGGTGGGTGTCAGACGAATACGAGAGCTTCGACAGGATCTGACAGCGTATGCAGCAACCGGCTGGATCGCTGAGAGTAGGCTCTACTGCCAAGCGGCTCGCCGCTGATACTGTAGCTTTGCTCACGAGTATAGAATTCACCATCGATCTCTTGATAGATCCGGCCACTCGGGGGACCGCCGATGTTGCGCATGTGGTTGCAGCAGTAGCCTCCTCGTCAGGTGAGGCTCAAGCCCGATCTTTTGCAACCAAGGTGAAGGCACCGCACGACACTGTCTGCTACGGAGGCTACGAAGATCTGGTGAAGGACAAGAACGTCGACATCGTTTACATCGCTAGCCCTCACTCGCACCATTTCGCGCATGCCCTGCTCGCACTCAACGCCGGAAAGCATGTCGTATGCGAGAAGCCAATTACTGTCAACGCTCGACAAGCTGAGATCCTTTACAAGACGGCGAAGAAGAACAATCTGTTCTTTCTAGACGCTGTCTGGACCAGATATTTTCCGCTTAGTGTTCAGATCCGACAGATCATCACATCTGGCGAGGTAGGCGAGATCCTTAGGGTCACTGCAGACACCAGCATGGGAGAGGAGATGGACGACCTCTGGAAGCGGCAAAAACGGCGTAAAGTCAATCTCGATCTCGCAGGCGGTGCGTTGCTAGAAAGTAAGCCACAATCATACTGCCGCGACTTTCCACAGCTGTGGTATTGATAATATGCGATCCAGTCGGCATCTACTCTATCACATGGATCTTTCAGACCCTATACCACACACTTCCGGCCTCGAAGCGCCAACCACCCAACAAGATCATGTCACACATGGTTAAGTACCCGGAGACGGGCGTCGACGAAGACACGACATTCATCGTCTCGTTCCCAACATCCAGCCCCAGCGGCTCATCAGGCCGAGGCTCTCACGGCGTTGGTATGACTGCCTTCCCTTTGGCGACCGACCCGGACCAACGTGGCACTGCTGGTCCGAGCGTACGTATACAGGGCACCAAGGGCGAAATTCAGGTACTTGGCATGCCGTTCCAACCTGATAGATACAAAGTCGTTCCTCTGCGAGATGGCGATGCTACAATGTCTGTACGCGAGGTACTCTGTCCGTTCCCAGCTGGCGGCCATGGCATGTACTATGAGGCGGATGAAGCAGCGCGTTGCGTACGCGAAGGTAAGTTGGAAAGTGAGACGATGCCGTGGGATGAGAGTCTGCTTATCATGAAGGTCATGGATGACATACGGGAACAAGGTGGATTGAAGTATCCTGATGCCATTGAGTCCACTGACCTTCACTAGTTCAAGACTATCTCAATCTTGCAAGTACATATCAGACTGCATCCTCAACTTTCAATATGTTCTCACAACGACGATTTGACCACTGTCCCGGTCAACATAAGCGGCAACTCATCGCTGAAGTTTGCTACATCGTCCGCCAACTCCTTAGCTCCCGGGGTGTCGCCTGCTGCCTTAGCTCCTTCAGCGGATTCCCCCATCAAGATGACTTGGATGTTGAACTGTTGGTTCGTTTCAGGGCTGAACTTGGTGATCTCCCAGGACTTGAGGCCGTGAGGGGAGAAGTGCTTTTGTACCAGTGGCATGTGTATGTTGGTGTAGTAATCCAGGTCGAAACGTGCCTTGGTCTTGAAAGGGTAGAGCAGTACTGTTCGGAAAGACATGTTGTTTTTCTGGTGTTTGAAACGTCGTACGTGATCTAGACAATGTTGGCAGTCTGCAGATAGTAAGTAGGAAGTTGAAGTCGTACGGTCTGTCAACAGATTGGTCTGTTGCGAGTAAAGAATTTGATGCGGTTACATGTCTTTCCTCACCCGTCATGCAGCCGAGCTCTTGTGAGCTTGGCCGTCCAACCAAGGCTCGCCTGACCATTGATGCCCGTAACAGATCTCAATGGGAAGTAATGCTAGTCGCACTCACGAGAAGCAGTATACCTCTGGCAATTCGATATACTATTGACGGATAAGGACGATGGCTGGACTCTTACGGCACAAGGTCGTGGCAATCAGTGGCAGCTCGTCAGGAATCGGACGAGCGACTGCGCTCGCGTGTGCTCGACAAGGCGCTTCGCTGGTTCTTCATCATCTTGGTGATGGCCAAGCAGAAGCGGACATCGCCACCCTTGAGGACGAGCTTCGAGTAATCAATACAGATATCAAAACCGCGACTCACGCATCCGATCTCACTCATGCCGATGCAGCGTCCGCACTCGTCTATACCGCCACCAGCCGCTTAGGCTCTCTAGATGTGATAGTTAACAATGCTGGTATCTGCAAATTCTCATCGTTTCAGGATGTGACGAGAGCTCTTCTCGAGCGCCATATGGAGGTCAATTTCACCGCAGCATACCTACTCACACAAGCCGGTGCCAAGCAGATGATCCAACAAAGTCGTGGCGGTAGCATCGTTAACATCGCGTCCATCACGGCGACACTGGGCTCTGCTCACCTGACGCACTACTCACCAACAAAGGCCGCGATACTGGGCATGACTGGATCGTTCAGTGTGGCTCTGGGGTCGAAGAACATCAGGATCAACAGTATATGTCCGGGAACCATCGAGACGACCATGAACAAAGCCGACCTAGATACAGGGACGAAAAGAGCGGAGATGGCTTCAAGAGTGCCTCTCTGTCGGCTGGGGCGTCCCGAGGATATTGCCAAGGCAGTTGTGTTCTTCGCTAGCGATCTGTCAGAATACGTTACGGGTCAATCACTGCTTGTGGACGGTGGAGCATCGATAAATTATCAATAAAGAGACACATATCTACTGCAACAGCGTCCAACGAGACCTCTTTGTCGACTGCGACCCTTGTACATGCGCCTTCACCTTACGAACGACACCTGCTGTGTCTAGGCCGAATCTCGCAAAGTTGGCAGCACCTCCACCTGAGTAGCCAAATGAATCCATAGCGATTGATGCTGTGCAGAAGCGAGCCCAAACTGTCGCGATGTAAGCTTCGACGCTGATCACATGAGGAGCATTGCCGAGGACTTCGTCTTGATATGCTTCGGATTGCTGCTCAAACAGACGGATCGACGGCATGCTGACAACCCGGGTTGCAATTTTGTGGCTCGCCGATAGTTCCGATGCTGCCTGCACAGCAAACTGTAGCTCTGATCCGCAAGATATCAAGGTGACCACTGCCTCAGCATTCTCCACGACGACGTAGCCCCCATGTGCAGCCTTCTTCCTATCAGTCGCTTCCATCTTGATAGCAGCTGGATCTCGGGCCAGGGAGATCATGACAGAGTGTCCCTCTGAGGATAATGCCACATCCCAGGCTCCCACCACTTCTTCAGCGTCCGCAGGACGGATGTATAACATATTCGGCATGGCACGGAACAGACTATCGAGTTCGACAGGTTGATGTGTGGGACCATTCTGTCCTTCGCCAATCGAGTCATGCGTCGCTATGTGGATGACTTTGAGATTTGACAACGCTCCCATGCGTACGCCAGCGGCCGCGTAGAGGTAGAACATGAAGAAAGTGGCAGTGATCGGGATGAAAGAGCCTGGGTGGTATGCAGCTATCCCATTGGATATAGACGCCATGGCGTGCTCTCGGATCCCATAACGGATTACCTGCCCTGTCTGGTTGTTGGCGTCGAATATGCGTGACGACTGATCCCCGAGCTGATTCGAGTTCCATAAATCCGCACCACCAGCAACCATTCCTGGGTTTCGAGATATGAGGTCGTTAAAGATCGTACCATTGAATTGCCGTGTCGCCAATATGTCCTGAGGGACCTTGATTGAATCGAGCACAGATTTGTAGTCATGGACACCTCTCATCCTATCATGTAATGCTTGGGCGTCTTCGGGATACTTCTCAGTATACCTAGTTAGTCGACTCTTCCAGCTGTCCTCTGTGTTCTTGCCATCCTTCGTAGCGTCGAGGTAAGTTCTGCCTATCTGTGAAATCCTGTGCGGCTCACGATCCTCAGGTTCGGCATAGAGACCAGCATCATCATCGGAGTATGTGCCATGATGAGACTTGAATGTGCCAGCCGTTGAGGTTCCATAGCCAATCGTGGTACGAATGTTGACCATCGTAGGCCGGCCTTTGGTAGAACTCGCGAGCTTCAAGCCAGCGACGATGTCAGTCACCGAAGCGTCGCCATTGAAAACGTCGATGACATTCCAACCCAGTGCGCGTACTTTCGCATTCGTATCTTCTGACACGATCCACTCAAGAGGTCCGTCGCAAGTAACGGCGTTGTTGTCGTAACAAAGTACCAGGTTATCGAGGCCTAGGTGACCAGCAATAGCCATTGCTTCTTGCGCAACACCCTCCTGTAAGCAGCCATCACCCGTGGTACAATAGATTCTCGACTGTATCAATACGTGGTCCGCCCGGTTGAATTTCGCCGCCAGTTGTTTGGAGGCTATTGCCAGTCCCACAGCATTTGCCACACCCTGCCCGAGAGGACCAGTCGTGACTTCGATACCAGGTACCTCGATCTCGGGATGACCGTGGCATATGGTTGACTTCCACTTGCCAGTGGCAGAATCCACTGCTTTGGGGTTTGCATACATCTTGAGCTCATCGAGAGTCATGTGTGGATACCCAGTAAGGTGCAGCATGGTGTACAGGAACATTGCTGCATGCCCGTTCGATAGGACAAACCGATCTCGGTCGAACCACGCCGGATTCGAGGGATTGTAGCGCATTGTGTGACGCCAAAGGGCGACGCCCAACGGTGCCATGCCAATTGCTGATCCGCCATGGCCTCCTCCATTCTGTCGAACAATATCGATCAACAGCTTCCGAACACATCGCACCGCCTGCTCGTCTTCAGTATATGTCGGACTAACACTGTCGTCCTTCGTGTGACCATTGCTCAACGCTAGGTTCTCATCGATGATTGTGCCTGGCGCCATGACAGAAAGCTTTGAAAGGTGCTGGGGGATCTTACGAGAGGTGTGCGATCACTCGTGGCCTCCTCCCAGGCGACAACGCTCGATCCTTCATATTCATCTCATGCTATCTTGCGTTCTGACATATCGGCTGCTCAAATTCTCGGATCGTCGCTCGGAGGATTAGAAGGGTATTTGCTTCTCGATCCGTAGCGATATGCCTGCTTGCGGGGTGAAGCTGGGGGTGGCAGCGGCGACCTAGGGAGAGGCATATTGCCGATATGCGCGTCGATCCATCCGTCTTTGCCACCCAATCATCTTTATCCGGCCGACTCTGAATTATGTTATTGTAGCACGTCGACATCGATGGAGCGCTGAAAAAGTCCCACTCCCACCGTCTTGTATTTCTCACCATCACGACAAAATGCCTCGCAAAGAACCTCGCGCCATCATCATAGGTTGTGGAGTGGCAGGAATCGCCTTGGCATCTCGACTGCGCTTCGAACTTGGATATGAGAACTTCGTCGTCTACGAGAGAGAGGCTGGCGTGGGTGGGACTTGGTTCCTCAACACATACCCAGGTGTTGGATGCGATGTTGACTCTCACCTATACTCCTTTTCCTTCAACCTGAACCCGGACTGGTCGAAGCGATTTGCGGAACAGAAAGAGATCCTCGAGTATCTGAATGCGACAGTTGATAAGTTCGGAGTAAGACCGCATGTTCGGCTCGGGATCGAAGTCGTAGAAGCAATCTGGGTCGACAAAGAAAGTCTATGGCGTGTGACTCTACGGGACCTTGCCACCGACCATACCTTCACCAGGGATGCCGAGATACTCGTGTCTTGCGTAGGAACAATCTCGATTCCACAAGATTGCAAGATAGCAGGCCACCAGAACTTCAGAGGCAAGATCTGGCACTCCGCCAGGTGGGACCACATCGAGGAATTGGCTGGAAAGAATGTGGCAATCGTTGGGAATGGATGTTCAGCTGCTCAACTCACCCCAGCAGTCGTCAAGGAAGCCAAGTCCGTCGTGCAATTTCAGCGATCACCTCAGTGGATCAATGAACGACCCAACAGTGACTTCAGTCCTCTCACCAAATGGTGTTTCCGATACATACCATTAGCCAATCGTGCTTACAGATACTTGCTATGGAGGAGCACTGACTCTTTGCATGACCTGTATACATCGACGACTGGTACCGCAATAAAAGCACGAGAGGGTGCTACTGTAGTCGCCAAGGACTACATGTTGAAAACGGCACCAGCGAGATATCATGACATCCTCTTACCAAAGTTCCCTCTCGGCTGCAAGCGTCGTATATTCGATCCTGGCTATCTCGAAAGTCTTCATAGCGACAACATTGAGCTGACAGACGAACCCATCATCGAGTTCACCGAGACTGGGCTGAAAACGAGCAAGCGTGAGATCGACTTCGATTGTGTTGTCCTCAGCACGGGCTTCAAGATCCAAGAGTTTCTGTCACCCATTACAGTCAAAGGCAAGGACGGCGTAAGTCTCAATCAGCACTGGAAGATGACTAGAGGCGCTCAAGCATATAAAGCTACTTTTGTCTCTGGTTTCCCGAATTTTGGCATCGTCTTTGGTCCGAACGCTTTCCCTGCGCACAACTCGGTCATCTTCACGAACGAGGTCCAGATCGAATTCATCATCAAGACAATCTTCAAACCGATCCTGAAGGGAAGCTTCAACGTTATTGACGTCAAGGAGGCTGCTGAAAACAGGGACGCCAACAACGTGCAGAAGAAGTTGACGACTATGGTGTGGAGTGGAGGATGTACCAACTGGAATCTGGATGTGAATGGCCGAAACACAACGAACTATCACGATGCAACGTGGAAGTTCTGGTATTCGCTTTTCTGGCCTGTCTGGAAAGACTTCAATATGGAAGGTGGTAGCGGTGCTTCCCTGCCCATCCACCCTGCATTCAAGGCTCTTGGGACGACGACAACGCTCGGTCTGGGCCTTGGTGTATGCTTGTACGCTTCTCAGCATGGAATTCGGGAGTGGCGTGGTCTTGTTCAATAGTCCCTTTTCGCGTACTAGATAGCAGCCTTCAATCTCAAGCGCAACGTCTAAACGATCTACACGTCTATGTTCCGAACGCTCCACTGATCGATTGCCAGAGTGTAGATTAGTGAAGCGTGTGTATGATCGTTCAAGAGCTCAACATCAATCTGCAGCTCCGCACGGCTACTCCCCGAAAGTAAAAGCAGCACCGGGACCTCGGAACGGCTACTTGCTACACGATCGTCTTTCCTCACGTAAAGAATATCAGCCTTCACCAACGTCTCCTATTGTAGAATGCTTGAGCCATCGGTCGCCAACGACATATTTTCCCTTTCCACAGGCATCAAGCAGAATCAAGACATCCAACATGAGCGAAACAACACATCTGGCAGCACTCTTGCATGGTGCGAAAGATGTACGACTAGAGCAAGTACCAACCGCTGCTCCACTTCCACATCAAGTCCAGATACGCCCACGCGCCACAGGAATATGTGGTACAGACATGCACTACTACTCAGCCGGAAAGAACGGCATGTTTGTTGTTAAGAATCCTCTGGTTCTGGGACACGAAGCAGCTGGAGAAGTGGTTGCAGTTGGCTCGGACGTCAAGGCCTTGAAGGTGGGAGATCGGGTAGCCATCGAGCCGCAAAGACCTTGCTCGGAGTGCAAGCAATGCACTACCGGTCTCTACAATCTATGCAGTAACATGAAGTTCTCTGGAAGCGCCAGCGCCGATCCTCCTGTACAGGGTAGTCTCCAGGAGTTGTATTGTCACGCAGCGGAATACGCTCACCCCTTACCAGACTCCGTGAGCTGGACCGAAGGAGCGATCGTTGAGCCTCTTGCTGTCGCTGTGCATGCTGTCAAGAGATCAGGGCTGCAGGCAGACAATTCTGTGCTAGTGCTAGGCGCAGGTGCCATTGGGTTATTGTGCGCCGCGGTTGCCAGGAGCAAAGGAGTGAAAAATATAGAGATGGTCGATGTCGACCCTGCCAGACTGGAATTTGCGAAAGCACAAGGTCTGGCTGATACGATCTTCAATATCCCACTTCGACCGAACGAAGGCGAGGAGAAAGTAGATTTTTGCATGAGGATGGCCAAGGATATCATCAGTCAGAACAAAGAGCGCCTTTTCGAGACGATCATTGAGTGTACGGGTGTGGAGACCTGCGTGAACATCGGCATACATGCCGCTGCGCCTCGTGGTAGGGTAGTTTTGGTCGGAATGGGGTCGCCAATGCAGAGCATCAGGGTTGGATCTGCTGCAGTCCGCGAGGTGGATCTTATCTCGGTGTGGAGGTATGCGAGTACGTTTGGCACCGCAATCGATCTCATTGCATCCGGCAAGGTAGCGGTCAAGCCGCTTGTCACCCACGTCTTCCAACTCAAGCAAGCAGCGGAGGCGTTGGATGTAGTGGTGGCGAAACCTGCAGATCTCATAAAGTGTGTTATAGTGAGCTAAATCAAAGACAACTCTGGAGCTGTTCATCAAACTTATGCACGATCGTCTCATTATGCTCCATTACCTGGTTGTATGAGAATCTTGACATGTTTAGCCTTATTGTTCATCAGCTCTCGAAACCCTCCCGAGACCACATCGCTCAAAGGTACAACAGCAGTGATCATATCCTCGAATGGAATCTCACCAGACGCCATTGCCTTCAAAACCTGCTCAAAGTCCTCCCGTGTATAGCATATGCCACCAAGGATCTTCTTCTCCAGTATGAAGACGTCGTTCAGATTCAGAAGAAGTGGTTTCTCATGAATAGCCACATTGAAGAATACACCGCCCGGCCGTACCGCCGCAAGACCGGTATTTAATGTTGACTGCAGTCCAGTCGCATCGAAAGTGACATCGACACCGTCTTCGGAAAAGCTGTGTACGGCCTCAAGGACCGGATCCTGCTCTTGGCCATCTCCACCCTTCGCTTTTTCAAGTGGATTAACCACCATATCAGCTCCGAACTGCTTGGCTTGTTTCGAACGTTGCTCAGTAACTTCGGTAATGATGACTTTGCCTGCGCCCCATGTTCGAAGTAGCAACAGTATTGCGAGGCCAATGGGGCCAGCTCCGAGGACTAGAGCAGTCTGGCCTTTCTTGAAGTTGGAGGTCCTGATGCTGTGCCAGGCGACCGCCAACGGTTCTGCCAATGCGCCCAGTTTCAGAGAGACGCCTTGAGGGAGAGGCAAGCAATTGAAGTGTTTGACAACAATCTCATCAGCAAAGCCACCGCCTACGGCATTGAGACCATATGTCGCCCATCGTTTACAGATGTTTGGTTTGCCCTCGCTGCATCGGGAGCAGTCTGGGAGGGTGTAATGTCTATCGTCAAGAGATGGATTGACGCAGACTTCTTGTCCAGCTCGTAGGTCTGTGACTTTGCTGCCAACCTCGACGATGGTGCCGGAGAACTCATGGCCCATGACGACGGGCAGGGAGACTTTCGTCCATGGATTGGCTTTGCCTGACGCTGGAGCGAATATTGGAGTGCTCAGATACTCGTGGATATCGCTGCCACAGATCCCACAGTAAGCGATGCGTAAGCGGACCTCATCTGCTTGGCATGGTCTGAGAGGAGGTCAGCGATTGTTGCTTGACGTTCAATACATATCATCATCTCCTTACACGGGCTCAATCCTGTCAAGCTGGATCTGTTCCCGCCCGTAAAGCCGTAACGCTGTCACCGTCGCCATATTCCAAAGCTTACTTGATTATTCACAGTGGTCAGTGATCTCTCATGTTCAGGAGGCGGTCCTTGGTGAGAAATGTAACGCTCGGTTATATGTGACATATTTTAGACTTCAGCCCTAACAGGCAACTTGACTCGTTCGCTGTGGAGATCCACACTCGACCCCGCAAGAATACAGTAATGTCGTGCAGGCCATAACATCTTATCGGCGACTCGGAAGTCTGCCTCCCAGTCGCCCTTCTTTCCATGCTTTTCACAATGCCACCAATTGCAAAGCCTGGACAAGACGACTCACAAGATCGTCTACGCGCAGCCAAAGCCTGCCAGCGGTGTAATGCTCGACGCGTAAGATGCGACGCCATCCAGACTGGGATTCCATGCTCCAAATGTCGCCAGGCTGGCTTCGAACATGATTGTACGCTGAGGCAGTCCAAGCGAGGGACATACCCGAGGAAGAAAGCGAAGCATCACCAGACCCTGTCTACAGTCGAAGCAGACAACGACCCGGATTCATCTCGTTTGAGCGAGACCTTAGCGACGCCGGAAGGTTTGTCGCAACGCGAGCTCACGACATGGCCGCGCGACCGGGAGACCAACCGTCGGAGCGACAAGTCCCCAAACATGTTCCCACCACCGCCACCGCCGCCATCAACGCGGCCCTGGACACCGACAAGTATGAGAGAACGTCCATCGCCCCCCTTCGTGACGCAGAATGATCCCACACCCCCAACATCGCACGTCCAGTGGCAATACCCTTCGGAAGATCGGCTTGCCACTTTAGCGATGCTTGCGGCGTCTCCCGGCTACCGTGCCATGGAAGTCCCTCCGGAACCCAGAACGACGGCTGGAGCAGGCAACAATCGTATTGATCTTGCCTCCCCAGAATCAACTATGTCTCGGAATAGTGGGTCTTCTTATCGAGAAATTTCATGGACGGCGATGTTCGATCACTTCTTGAATGGGAGGAAGACGGAAGGCACGGACATGGTCGACAAGTGCTCGATTACATATCTGGGCGAGTCCTTTCCATTAGCCATGGTCCTGCAAGATCTCACAGATAATGGTGCACCTCGATTACATCACGCTGGTCCTCCTCTCCAAGGCGAGTCGACCCCTACCGCTGCGAATCCACCGGACCTCCAACATCCTTCGCATATGGCAGACGAGGACATTGCTTTCCTCCAGGCCAAAGACGCTTTCGCCTATCCCGACGACAAAACCTTGACCGCCCTCGTCGCCACATTCCTTGAGCGTGTCTATCCTCTCTATCCAGTCGTCAGTCTCCAGGAATTTCTCATGCAGTACAAGACGAGGACGATACCTTTCATCTTGCTCAACGCCATTTGTTTCGTGGCCGCTACCTACTGTCCACTGGCAGCATTGCATCAAGGCGGGTTTACTGGGAGAAGAGAGGCACGCTTTTCGTTCTACAAGAAGGCAAAGGCCATATTCGACACAGGATATGAGTGCAACAAGATTGCAATCCTACAAAGCTCTATCCTGCTGACGTTCTGGGGAGGCGGACCGAACAATTACTGGAATTTCTACTCTTGGATTGGCACGAGTGTCACCATCGCTGAGACGCTTGGCATGCATCGATCACTGGCTGCAACGAACATGTCAAAGCAGGATCGAAGCTTATTGAAGCGGCTCTGGTGGATACTTATCATTCGAGACTCTTTCTGTGGCGCGCTCGTGGGCCGACCCTTCCGTATAGGTATGGAGCATTCCGACACGGAGATGTTGACTCCGGAAGACTTTCAACATGATGAGCCATGCCTGTCAGTCGAAAAACATCCCTACAGATTCTTGTACGGTGAATACCAGATCCACATGGCTTCGCTGGCGTTGATACTCCGCGAGATCGTCATCACACGGTTTGGACCGAAGAAGAAGTCTCAGACGAGGGCGGAGCTCAACTCCATGCTACAATCGTGGCGGCAAACCTTACCGCGAGAGCTCAGCTGGTCCGATCATGCTTCGAAGAAGCTGAACGTTTTCGCCACATCCTTGGCCATGATTTACAATCATCATGTAATACTGATCAACTTCGGATTCCGAAGAGACAATAGCGCTCAGGATGCCAGCGAAGCTGAGGCCACCACATTACAGGCTGCTTCGCAAGAAGCAGCTCGTGTGATCTCCGAATTTGCATGCTTCATCGTCACTAGGTCGCTGGTCCTCACCGTGCCACACGAAGCCTTCAGTGCACTTTTTGTGGCTGAGGTGGTCTTCTATACCCAAGTCAAGAGTGCTCAGGCGATGGTTGCGCAGGTAGGTCGCATGTCGCTGAACAATTGTCAGATGGTGCTACATAACGCCAAAGAAGCGTGGGATCCTGCTCCGTGGGTCATGCAGCTCTTCGAAAATCTCATGAGTACGTCCAAAGATGCGACGACGGCCAGCGACGGACACGATCACAGCAGAAGTGACACACATGTCAACGCCACTTCCAACGATTTCATCGATATCTTCGGGATGGGCGGACCAACGGATGGTGTTGCGATAGGCGGCGATTTCAATGCTTTGCAGTCTAATAACTTGTTGTCTACTTTCCTTCAGATGCCGAACGAGATGGACGGCTTTGCGGGACTAGACTTCTTGGGTCTGTCCGGGGACTTTGGCGACGTCATGCAAGCGGGTTCGCGGCAGTAGGGCCTGATTCATGAAGTGACTACTGTATTGATACGCTGTCCCTTCGAGACCTACTCACTCACGCAAGCCAATTGCCGTCCTTGTCTTCCCATCCAAAGTCTTCTACACTCCAGCCCAGAATTGTGTCCTTGCCATCTAGATGGTATTGCAGGCCCGGAATGATGTGCACTAGTCTGATCTTCTCGATTGTGTCCGTTGCATGGCTGATTGCTTCCATGCTTTCGTCGTCAAGTGTGACAAGCCGGATGTTCTCGTCGATTCGATGGAGCTTGCTACTCTTGGGTATGACAACCACTCCTCTCTGGACTGCCCAAGAAAGCGACACCACTCCAGTCGAGCACTTGTGCTTTGTGGCAATGTCGACGAAGAGCTTATCTGTGAGTATTGGGTTGGTGCCTGTATCGAGTCTCTCGCTTCCTAGTGTGCTCCAGCTGATGACTCTGATGCCCTTGTCGTCACAGTATGGTACTAGTTTGTTGTTTGGGTTCAAGGCATGGAGTTCGACCTCGTTAACGGCAGGGACGATACTGGCATTCTCCAGGAGTTTGTCAAGGGTCTTCTGTGTAAAGTTACTCACACCGATGGATTTGCATTTGTCTCCGACGAGCTTCTCCATCGACTTCCAGGCTTCCCAGAATGGTGGATTACCTGGGTACTTCTGTGGCAGATCGTCCGGCGACATCGTGTTGGGCCAGTGCATGAGGAAGAGGTCAATGTAGCCGATGTTCATGTCACTCAGAGACTTTTCTAACGCTGCTGCAGGATCGTGGAATGAACTTCCCCATAGCTTCGTGATCACGGTGATGTTCTCTCGAGGAACCCCAGAGTCGCGGATGGCTTCTCCAACGACTGATTCGATTCCATAGTACTGAGCAGTATCGATCAGATGATAGCCGTTGTTGAGCGCGTAGATTATGGACTTTTTCAAAGCTTCAGTCTCATCGGTGCCAAATTGGCCTTGCCATGTGCCTAGTCCAACTGCTGGGATACTTCTGCCTGGCGGACGTTTGGAGATTAGTTTTCCTGCATTGTAGCTGAACGGTGCAATACCACCTTACCATTGTTAAGTCGAAAGGTCTTCGTACAGACAGGAATGTTTGCTTCGGACGGCATGATCAGCAGATTGATGGGATGGATTCCAAGAGTCCAAAGCTCACGATCGATCACGGTGACATAGCTGTGTTGACTACAAGTTTGTTCTGCATAAACAACATTGAAGTCGGCTATGATAGAAGCTCGGCTCTCGGAGCAGGAATAGTGTCACGACGAGTGGAGAAGAAACGCAAACACCCGATACGCCGGATCTTGAGCCGATATGATATCTATCTGACTGCTGGCGTAGACAAGCATGCAAGTCTCTCAAAGCTAATGTCCAAAATCTCCATCACATTTCCCCACGGATCTTGTGTGTAGAGACACTTGACACCAGCACCTGTCGGGTCGACCGTCTGCCCAATCCGCTTGCCTCCTGCTGCCACTACCTTATCAGCCAGGCCATCGGGATCAGCATCAGTCACACAAGCGTGAAAGAAACCACCACGATGATACTCGAAAGTGTTCTCGGCGGTGTAGCTTTTGGGGTCCAGGAACTCGAATAGCTCAAATCCCACTCCGTTGCCAGTCGACATGTACGCAATCTTCACCTCATTGAGGCTCGAGGGGTAAATGAAGAAGATGGCAGCATCCGGTGTGTCACTGCGCTTGACATGATGGATGGTGTTGCCGATGAGCTGGAAGCCGAAAATGTCCTTGTACCAGTCGACGGCTTTTGCGACATCTGGTACGGATACGGCGATGTGGTTGATCACGCGATTGTGCGTCTAAGTAGAAATGTCAATTCTATGACGCTGGAGTACGATTTCTTAGCAGTAACCACTTACTTGCGGTGCCATAATACAGGGACAAGAAATCCGTTCAAGTGGGGGTGTAGATGATTGCCTGCCACAAGACACGCGACATTGATTACAGCATGTTATACCGATCTCACCATCGCCGTCGTCTGTGGGTTGATCGAGAGCCTCGGTTATATGGCACGCGTTGATGGTGAGGTTTTCCTTCCCCACCTTCCGTCCCACGTCACAGCCAAGACCCGGACGCCGGCTCATCTTCGCGGTCCAAAACTTGATGTGATGCGCCGGGAAGGGAGAGTTTTTGCTGACTTGAGCGACCTCATCAAGGAATGAGGATACATTCTCGCCAGACGAAATACAGAATATGAATGGGCTTAGGCGGCTATTTCACTGACTAGAATATAGCAATCGCTCCAGGTGGACTGCCGACACCACCACGAACATGCAGTGGAGCACTCGTCAAAAAGAATGTCCACCGCTTCAACCAAGCGCACTCTGCAGCCAACTCCTCGAGATTCCACATCTCGCCGAGCGGTGCTCCCCACCATACGAGCGACCATTCGTGGATGATGTAGTCATTGTCCGGCGCTGGAGGCCAAGCCTCAAAAGCCACACTGTCTGCGACGTGAGCAGAGAAATGCTGTGAGTAGAGCCATCGAATCGTCTCTTCGTTTGCTTGCAGCCCGATTGCGGTGGAGCGGTCGCAGGTGCCTTGTTTCCTCTGTTCTGCCGTGGCCTGATTGTGCTGACGGACGTAGCCGGTACGGAGCATGAGAATATCACCTTGCTTCGGGTGCGTGGACTGTTCGCTCAAGGCTGCCTTGACGTCGGCCACTGGAATCTGGTGAGTTGTCCAGGCATCAGGAGCTTGGCCGTCTCGTTTTTCGTAGAATCTGACCTGCTGCAGTATCAACTACCAGTCTTCGAGCACCTCTTGTGGTACAGCCCGTACCATGTCAACGAGCAGTCCTCTGCCCACGATACCGCCTCTCTGGCACCAGTCTTGACGTCCGCATCAGTCTTGATCCTTCTTCTATGAGTGACAGTAACTCACTATGGATGCCGTTCGTGTCAGACTTCAGTGCGTCCTCATACCTGAGACCATTGTAAAAGACCTTATCCTTCTGGTATGCGTACTGTAGCCACATCAGTATTACGGAGTCAGTCCTCCGACATATCTTGCTTACATGCTTTAAGCTATCCCATTGACTACCGCATTGTGTGTTGACATGGATCTCGTCATCGAAACCACAGTTGCTCAGACTATGCGTCAAATCAATGACTTTATGCTCCAGCTTCCTTCTCCCGAAACCTGGAAATTCAAGATTGTGCAGTGGCCAGTCCAGCTGGATTGAACGACCAATCTCAATCTCCTCTTTTGCCGCTAGTACGATCTCTTCGGTGAGCAGATTTACGGCTGGAAGTAGTTCACGGTCAGCTTCTCAACTCGATTGTCACGGATCCAGGGACAAATCACCTCCAATCTCGTCTTTCTTCCCATCTTGATCGTAGAAGCCCCAGACACACCCTTGTGGTGTTCCCGAGACCTTTGGAAGGTCCTCGAATGACGGAAAGGTGTAATTGACCATGGTGATGACGATCTTCCTCAATAGCTGGATCTCAAGCGAAGGACGCCAATCCTGTTTGAAGGTCCCTTCAACGAAGACATACTGTTTGGATAGCGTTTGACCCCGCCATGTTCAAGTCACCTCCCCAATGGACCGCGTGGTGTGGTGTCCGTACTGAGAGCTCGGTGGGATGGTCTTACATATAGCCGACGTACGGCTCGACTTACACCTCAGCAGAATTGTGGTGATCAGAGTATACAACCGGGAAGCAGCATGAGGGCGAGATCAGCAATACCGGGTCGAAAGTATATACAGACATATGGCATCGGGTCAGGACACTGTGAATGCCCTTGCACATACTCGAGATCATGTCGCCAACCAAAGACCAAAGCCTTATCGATACCAATGGCCACAGCGAAGTCAACGGCCAGAAGTCTACCAATGGGACCTTCAACCACCCAGCCACGATCAAAGAAGCCATCTCTGATCCTTCCCTGATCGTCGAATCCTCGTTCATCGGAGGCGAATGGATCCGCGGCGATTCGACATTTCCAGTCTACGATCCAGCAACAGATAAAGTCATCGCCGAGATCGCTAATCTCGACCGCCAAGCCTTCAAGACGGCCATCGATCACGCCGCCACAGCCTTCAAATCCTTCAAGCAGACGAACGAGCACGAGAGGTCGAAGCTGCTGCATCGATGGGCGGCTCTGATCCGTCAGCATGCTGCTGATCTGGCCGTGATCTTGACGATGGAGAATGGCAAGACATTGCCGGAGGCAAAGGGCGAAGTCGAGTACGGCGCAAGTTTCATCTCCTGGTTCGCCGAAGAAGCTATCCGCTCCTACGGCGATGTCATACCCTCCCAACACCCCAACAGCACGAACATTGTGATTCGACAACCCATAGGCGTCTGCGCCATCATTGCACCATGGAACTTTCCTATCGCGATGATCACTCGTAAACTCGGCCCAGCTATTGCGGCAGGATGCACGACTGTCGTCAAGCCACCTAGCGAAACGCCGCTTTGTGCCTTGGCTTTGACTAAGCTCGCTGTTGAAGCAGGAATCCCGCCTAATGTTCTGCAAGTCGTTACGACGAAAGATCGATCGGCGGTGGAGGAATTGTATACGAATCCCATCGTCAAGAAGGTCAGTTTTACGGGCTCGACAGGTGTTGGCAAGATGATCACCGCAAAGGCGGCTGGGACGATGAAGAAAGTTTCCATGGAGCTGGGTGGAAATGCTCCTTACATTGTTTTCGATGACGCGGATCTGGATGCAGCCGTGGACGGTGTGCTGGCTTGCAAGTTCAGATGTTCGGGCCAAACATGCGTCTGCGCCAATCGTCTTTACGTCCAGCGATCTGTCCACGATGAGTTCGTCGCGAGACTCCTTGCACGCATGAAGAAGTTCAAGATTGGCTCGGGTCTGGATCCGAGCGTTACCCATGGTCCGCTTGTCAACAAAGCCGGTGTGCGAAAGGTGAAGGACCATATCGACGATGCCGTGAGCAAAGGCGCCAAGCTTGCATATGGAGGTGAAGTTCCGGCTGATCTGCAAGGCTACTTCATCGAGCCGGCTTTGCTGACCGGCGTCACGCAAGATATGCTTTTAGCGAAAGACGAGACATTCGGTCCGTTGGCACCCATTTTCGCCTTTGAGACTGTGGAGGAAGTCATCGAGATGGCGAACGATACCGAGTTCGGACTCGCAGGTTACTTCTTCGCCAATGATCTGCGCAAAGTGTGGCGCGTAGCGACGGCACTTGAAGTAGGGATGGTAGGCGTCAATACGGGTAAGATCAGTGCAGCCGAAGCACCATTTGGTGGTGTCAAGGAGTCGGGTCTTGGGAAGGAGGGGAGCAAATATGGCTTGGCTGAGTTTCAGGTTATGAAGAATATTACCTTGGGTAGTCTGTAGTATCTTTCACTCCGTGCGTCCTGCGTGCATTCCTCCTGTTATGAGAAGTTCGCCACCAGTCATGTAGGAGCTTGCTTGGCTGAGAAGGTAGACTGCTGCTCCCTTCAACTCTGTTCTGTCGCCCATGCGTTTCATTGGAGGCTCCGAAACAAAGATGTCTGAAAGACGAGGTCGGGAATCTGCGATATCGAGGACCATATCTGTGACGATGTATCTGCGAAAGCGTCAGAATATCGAAAACGACACGAGAGCATATGGTCAACTGACCCTGGTGATATGCAATTGACCCTGATACCAGGCCTTGCGAGCTCCACACTGAGTTGCCGGCTAAGCGAAAGCACAGCTCCCTTGCTCGAGCAATAGTCACTCGTATACTGACCTAGACTCGCGGTATGTGCTGCGATTGAAGCTATGAATACGATCGAGCCGGCATTAGATGTTGGAGTCAATTTCGGTTGCTTGAGCATTTGTCGAGCTGCCAGTTGCGCCGAGTAGTACGTTCCGAGCGAGTTGATCTCGAACGTCCGCTTCACACTCTGCGGTTTTCGTTCCAAGAAGGGCTCATCGGGGCATATGCCAGCTGCGGTCACTCTTCATAGTATAATCAGTCATAAGACCCGTGCCGGCAGCTCCCATACTTACATGCCGTCTATCCTTCCAAAGTCCTTAGCAATATCCGCGAACGTCGCCTCGAGTCGCTCATAGTCGGTGACATCAGATTTGTAATACCGGACTTCTTCGCAAATGTCCTGCAACTTGGCGTAGTGTTCGTGAGGCGCGTCGGCTGCATCTACAATTGCAACTTTGCCGCCTGCTTCAGCGACTGCAAATGCTAAAGCGAGCCCGATACCTCGTCCGGCTCCAGTGATGACCACAGTGCGCCCTTTCAACGACAAGAGGTCGAGCACGTTGGAGGTAAGATATGAGTCGACTGCCTTTCGAGACAAAGGCTTTCGGCTTTGCTCGAGCGCATCGACTGACAATGGGCGAAGAATTGATTGGCGTTGTGGAAGGCTGCGCGGCGTGATGAAAACTCGACGCAAAGCCAGCGACGAGAAGGTGCGGCGAAACATTCTGTTGCTTGCACGATTTGCGTTACTGCGAGGGTTGTTGTGATGTTTCTGATTGTCGCTCTTGATCAGTCAGCACGGCTATATGCCATACCCGAGCCCTCGCTACTGCAGGCACTTTCCTGGCACATCCACTCCACTGACTGCACTCCACATTCTCCACATGCACTAGCGCCACATGCACTAGCGCCGCTGCATTACTCGAGCTATGCTACCGAGATGATGTGTGCCGTGACGCTGATTACGACTAACGCCCAGCCTTGAAACAATCGTTCGGAACGCACACGTGACCTGAAATTGTCCCGACCACATGAGCGCAACCGCGCTGCTGTGCTCTGCGTTCCATCAAAGTCAGCATCAGCGTAGCTTCTCGATCCAGCAAACAACAAGCTATATGTTGCAAACACAGTGGTTCATACAATCAGACTACTTCGAAAGTCCGTGCAGTATGGGAGCTAGCACTGTGAGGACTGACCATGGCACCTAGTATAGATGTTTGGGCCGATTTCGTAGAAGCAGATACTGTACCGTCGGGCAACCTGCTCCAAAAGCGATAGGGCCGAGATAAGAGTAAGCATGGGAGCCGTCACTGGAAGGTCAAAGTACGAGCGGTCGTTGTCAGCCAGGGACTAATACGAGAACATCTTTCGAACGGGTAGCTGGAGGCAAGCTGAATCGTAGCTCGCCTTGCAGCATTAATTGTCGTATGCGAGTTGTCAGAGGATGTGGCTGCGAGCGACTGTCGCTACAGTTCAGCCGTTGGCTTATGTCTCCCGGCTGCAATGCTTGGTGTTCGATGGGCTCTGACGACACTTGTGCGATTTGCCACCCAAAGATTCAGAAAACCCGGCATTCTGGCAAGCTCGAGAATGGTGACCACCTGTTACCTGCCTTGCCTAGGTTCCACCATCGCTGGAGTATCACTTCGTGGAACAGAATACCCGAAGGCTCTGCTTCACTGGTCTCGAATCGCCAGTCTGGACACCATGATGGGGACATTTGGCCATCGAGATGTCCGCCAAATATTGCCTGCAATTCCAAGATGTTAAGGTTTTGATCTTGTTTGACGACATACCTGACTAGTTCGGCGAATGTCTCGGACGCTGGTTGCTTGTAGTCGATGGTCAGATGAGGCTGCCGTGAAGTGTGTAGATTGGTCGCACTCATGCCTAGTATACCGTAGATATGATCGTGAGCATCGGAACATTGACTGCCAACTGTTCGTCGCAGCACCCACAAGATGTCTGCTGTGCCTGCCTGGCCGGTGTCTGGCAGTTCGCGTAAGGTTAGTTTCAGTCGTTCGCTGTGTGTCAGTCTGACGAAGGCAGTGAGAACTTTGTATGCAGGCGACTTATGGCTGGAGCCAGTCGTAGTCGTGATCTTGCTCCAAGCCGATGCTAGTTGAAGCAGGCTCCATGGTAATATCATGTCCGAATACATGACCACAAGATGTTCAGCAGCCCAGACCTCTTGTTTCACCCATACTCGACGGAGCCAGGGACAAGTAAGAGTATGGCGAGGCCCTGATCGAGTCGCGATGTGTGTCTTTCGCATAAAAGGAGCTTGACCTTCTCGCAGTATCTCACTGCTTCTGGAAATCTTCGACTAGCGTCGAGTGCCCGGGACCTAATCAAGTGTAGAGCGCCCGCGACGTCTACTTCTAGCGAGCCCAAGTAGACAAGGGCCGCCAGCAGACATGGAGTGATAGCCATGGCGGTAAGGCGAGAGGAAGAAAGGCTGAGAAGTGGTCGTGAATTGCCCATGAGGCTTCGGCGCATCCTCGGAAGTGGTCACAGAGCGCGCGACGCGACATGAACGCGATAGTGGGCCAACGTCAATAACAGCAGTTGCATCGCAGCACGACATTTTCTCCACATCTGCTTATCTCTCCCTCAACAATGGACGCCGATATAGAAGACATCCTCGCCTCCGTCTCGGCTCCCTCAATCCCGCATCAGACACTCGACCTTCAAGCTTTAACCCGAGCATGGATCAACGAACGCACGGCACCAGAATTATTGCCTTATCCTGCTAGTTTGGTTGATAGGGTAGTGGAGAGGGTGAAAAAGCAAGTATGTTCTCACGCATTCCACCGAGATCGTGAAGGGGCATGTTGGCTGATGGAAGGTGGTATAGTAGATTGAAGTAATAGAAGAATTGACGGGCACATTCGACCCTAGAGCGAATTTCAAGCTGGTAATACTACAGACGGAACTCGACCGGTTCAAGTTCCTCGTTCGCTCTTTCCTTCGGGCGCGGATTGCGAAGGTGCGCCTTCCCTGTGAAGATATCCTCCCACAATGCTTGACTTAACATGACGACAGGTCGACCTCCATCCCCACCACTACCGCTCCCTCGCCCTGCAACAGTCTGATCTATTGTCCCACCTCGAACAGCAATATCTCCAATCGCATCAAGCCCTTCTATCCTCACACTACCACACCGCCTTCCTCTCCACTTTCCCGCCCAACCTGCAGAAATTGGATGATACGGCGGGTGGGATTAGTATGGTTGATGTGCCGGATGAGGATAGTACGGTCTTCTGTCGGGTGTTGCGGGATAAGGGGACGGTGAAGGTTCAGAATGTCGAGGATGTGACGCAGGTGGAGTTGAAGCGGGGGGATATCTGGGTGCTGAGGTGGAGTGCGGTGAGGGAGGGGGTGAGGAGGGGTGATGTGGAGTTAATATGACATGACGTGAGCATGCTTATTAGTCATGGCTTAAGATATGGTTCGTCAAATGCTATCATCATCTATGTCATCACCTCATCTCTCTCACACACTACAGTCCTCAATGCGCCTTCAACCACCCCAGCATCTGCCCAAAAGCCTTCTCCTGCTCCGCCACAATCTTCCCATCCTCGTAATCTCCCAACACAGCGAAGCCATGTGGCACACCCGCGTACACACTTACCTCATGCTCTACCCCCTTCTCCCTCAACGCCATCGCCCCTTCCTTCCGCACGTGATCTGGAAACATCGCATCGTCCTCCACCGCCACTACGCAGAGCGGCACACTCACGCCCGCCAAATCCTCTTTCGTTATCAACGTCCCGTGCGCGATCGCTCCAGCCTTGAACTGCGGCCCTTGCTTCATCATCCCCTCTTCCGCCGTACTTTCCGGTGCTCGCTGTCCTTGTGCTACATCTTTATGCAACTCACTTCCCAGCAGTAGGACATACTTCGCACCAAAGCAATATCCAACCGCGTAAAACCCGTTCCCCGCCGCATCCGCAAATTCCTCTTTCACGGACGTCAAGACGCGGTGGAGGATCGGGAGGACTTTCTCCGGCGTGTGGCGTGCGAGCCACATGTCTATCGTGAAGGATTTGGCGGTTGTGGCGACGGCGAGTTTGACTTGCTCGATTACGCTGGGATTCTCGGAGGCGGGTGCGGTGGAGGTAGTGGTTGCGGGGGCTGGGTCGCCGCCGAACCTGAATGAGGAAGCTGTGTTAGTGAAGCTGGTCGGTGGTATGATTTGGTGATAAGGTGGTGCATACTGATCTGGCATGACCACAAGATAACCTTCAGCCGCATATCTATCCGCTTGTAATTGGTTGTTCGTGCTATGGATTCCTGTTCCTCCCGTCAAGAGCAGCAGAAGTTTGGCAGAGGTATGCGGGTAGTCGGCGGGTTTGGTGATGTAGACTTCTGTGTCGTTGTACTTTGTGATCTCCTGTACGCAGTCTCAGGTTCTCAGCCAGTTGATGGTACGAAGGGGGGTTGCCAGAACGTACACCGGTGGGTGTCCCCAAGTGAGAAGCTACAAGCTGGTCAGCCTGCGCTCTGCTCTCTCTCCTCTCCCTCTTCCCGTGAGACTTTGGGGGTAGTACGTGTGGGTCTATCGGTCGTGCAGTGTTCCTACATATCATATCAGCTCTTCAGTCATGGCCGTAGGAAGCTTGTTTATCCACATACTCCCATACTGGCGGCACCTTGATCAGGCTTCGTGTCGCCCGGAATGCCGCTCTTCGCCTGCGCATCCTCTTGAGCATCGCTCTCGGGAGCTCGTGTGGCCAAGTCTTCGTCTGCCATCTTTACGACTTTCACATGTATTCGAGGCTTTGAGGAGGTCGAGATGCGGTTGTTTGTGATGTGGGGTGGGCTGATGAGTGGGGCAGTGGCTGCTCTTGTGGCGTTGCTTTGCTGACTTTCGAGGTGACTCAGAAGCTTAACTTGACTTTGAACCTTTGCTTCATCTCCTACTCGTCTTGCCATTTCATGGATCATGAGGACAACTCGATTGTATGAAGCTACTGGAGTGCCATGGGATAGTACAAATACGAGGCCAAGTACAGCCTTGCACCTCTCCATTACACCAATACATTCTAACACACACCAAGACATATTGACAACGACGACAGATTTACAACAGCCTCGCATGCCGCTCGCAGACATCTACCGGGAAATTGGACACGGCCACTGTGGCAGCGTCTGGACCAACGAAGCTGACGACCCATCTGTCGTTATTAAACGAGAGGATGGCTCGCCTGGTCGCTCCGTGGCCAAAGATGCCGAGATGCACCAACGGGCTCAAGACAGCCTTATCGTCTCTGAAGTATCACATCTCAACATCCCAACTTACGAGCGATTAGTCTCAGTTGACGACGAGTTCTGGTCCCCACGCCTGGTGAAGTTCCCAAACGACAAATCTCACCCTTACGTCGCCTGCAACGCCCTAGTTAGTGAGAGGATCCGATCCTTCTCCCGAACGGAGAGGGAGAATCTTATCGATCTCTACTGCCGAGGATCGGCAAGAGAGGCGATCAAGACAAGTAAATCGAATGAAGATTGTATCGTCCGCTGAAATCTTGGCAGGAGAACCCGCAACAAGCTCACAACCTCGCCTTTCTTCACCCTGCGCAATCGACCTCTTAAACTCGATCAGATGCTGGATCTTCACTTACCGATCGAAGACTACGCTCGTACTATGGCTGATGCGTTAGCTGTCATCTACTGGCACGCCAAGGTCGACGCCAACGATGTTGAGTTCGTTCTTGCACCTGCTGGCACACATCCAGCGTCAGCAGCTTGGTCTTCGGGTGTACTGGGTGAGCATACAATGTGGGTTCTTGATTTCGATTGCTGTGGTGTCATGACTCAGGATGAAGAGGGTGTGGAGAAGGCGGCGAGGGCGTTCTACAGGAATGATCCTTATTTCCCACGACCAGTGGGGGAGGACGATGAAGTGGGGAGGGCGCTGTGGGAGCTCTTCAAGCATATGTTTTCTTGAGAAGAGTGCCAAGATTGCGGGAACGGCGAGCTTATTGCCGAGGCTCATGGTTGAGAAGCTTGAGCAGCTTGGAGACGAGAGGACAGAGGATGTGCAATCCAGGTGCCCGGACTGGACGAATCGCGTCGCCACCTTGAACATCCATGTCTTACCTTCGTATTGTAAGCTACTGCAGCCTTTAGTGCAAACTCAAAGGGATGCGTCTTCAATCCATACTCTGCCAAAGTCTTAGGCCCACACGAGCCCGTCCCAAGCCCATGATGATCAGCCCCGAGCCTCAATACCACAAAGTCCTTCTTCTTCCTCTCCAGCTCATAGGGGTGCTTCGCAGCATCGATATCCTTGTCGTCGTACACACTTGCCATGAAACTCAAAAGATATCTTTTAGTGTTATCCTCGGGCTGCATGAGCTGCACGTTCAGAGTTGTGTCATTGCTCTCGTTGCTTAGTTCCAACCACCGATTATCAGTCCTATTCGAGCATTCCTGCGGAAACTCTGGACCCGTCCAGAGTCCTGGCACGGTGTTGGTGTACAGGCCTACAGATTGAGCGAGTTTCATATCCTTGTAACTTTCTCCGGGCCCACGACCGAACCACTTGACATGCTGAAAATCTTTGTGCAGGCCCAGTGTTACGCCCAGCAGAGATAGTGTCTTCCGTAGATTGAGGCCAGTAGGGGTACCCTTAACTTCGATTGTGAGGCCTCCATGAGGTGACATGGCGTAGATGACGACGAGATCGATGCTCCAGGAAAGTACGAATGGCATGAACTTCTGCTCGACTGTCACTTTCACCACGCCGTCGTCTTCCTGGTTCCAATTGAAGGAGCGCATCTGGACTTTCGCTTTATCGAGCTTGCGGTCTTTCCAATCCCAGCAGTCTTGTGGGGCATCATTGTCTGCTACAGCGCGGTAGAAGGTTGGCGTTACCAGTGCGGCTAGGTGTTCTTGGCCGTTCTTGGCCCCGGATGTGAGGTGGCTGAAGGCACGATCGAAGGTCCAAGTGCTTGTTGTGCCACTGAGTTCTAGGATAGCGCCTTTCTCCATAACGTTCAGCCGTGATGTGGCAGTTGATGGAACCCGGGACACGATCGAGGTGGGTGTGGTGGATACTTGTATTGCGGCTACCTCGTGTCCGGCCACGGCCCAAGTAGTGTCGTCCTTGAGCTTGAAGGAGAGCTTGACAAGGACCTCTTGACGTGATGTCGAAATTGCAGACTCTGGTAGAGTGAGCTTGACCATCTAGCCTGGTGCGATATTCGAAGGAACCTCAATAATTCCGCCCGTCCCGACCAATCCATCATCACTCGTGATCTGCCAGCTGCAAACGAGACCATTCAGGGTGATGAAATCATATCGATTTGTGACCGTCACCTGTTTACCATCAAAGTGGACAAGCTGTACCGGCTCGATCGCCTTCTTGTACTCCTGCAGACCACTATTCGGCTTATGATCCGAATCCAGCACACCGTCCATGACGAATTTGCCATCGTTCGGCTCATCTCCGAAGTCACCTCCGTAAGCATAGTAAGGTGTATTTGTGCCATCCTTTGTAGTGGTTAGGAGTCCATGGTTAGTCCACTCCCAAACCCACCCGCCTTGAAGCTTGGGGTATTGATAGAAAGCGTCGATGTATTCTTTGATGTTACCCGGTCCGGTGCCCATCGCATGTATGAACTCGCAAAGGACCAAACGCTTAGTCCGAGCATGATCTTTGGCGAAAGCGATGATGTCTCGTGGATGTGCGGATACGTCCGCGAATGCATGTCGACATCTGCAGCATCAAGGGCTGGCTCATAATGTACTAGTCTTGTCGGATCGGCCGCATATATCCACTCGGCCATGGCGGTATGATTGCGACCGTAGAAGGCCTCATTGCCAAAACTCCAGATTATGACGGAAGGATGTAGCTTATCACGCATTACCATCTGTTGCGCACGGTCGACATATGCTTCTCGCCAGGCTAGACTGTCGCTTGTCCAGGCCGCTGCGTCTTTCTTGGTAACCTGCTGCCGCTCGAAGAAAGGGAGAGCTTTCTGAGCTGGGTCGAGGTTTGCGTCCGCTAAGCAGTTGTCAGACCTTGGTGAAGATGTGTTGGCGACAGACAACTACTCACCTATGGTCTCGAAGCCATGACATCCAAGATCAGCTTCATTCAAACCCCACAAGCCCAGCTCATCACATAAGTCGTAGAGCCTTGGATCGCTAGGAGCGTGAGATGTGCGGACCGAGTTCAGATTATGCATTTTCATGAGTAGAAGATCCTGCCTGAGCCACGACGATAGGTGGTCAGTAGTAGGCATCGAACGGAGACGGACATTGTACTCACTTCATGAATTCAAATGGTACTGCCCGACCAAGAGTCGGATGATGCTCATGTCTGTTAGCGCCACGGAACACAACTCCCTCACCATTGACTTTGATCATTCCATCTTTCAGCTCCACTTTCCGGAATCCTACTCTTTGCGAGATGTCCTGTTCTTCGCCGATGGAAAGGACGAGATGGTATAAGTATGGCATCTCGGCAGTCCACTTGTGAGAAGCTTGGACTGGAGTCGAGAAGGACGCTGTTTGCGGACCATGTCCCATTAAGTCCGATAAGTCGCTTGCTACTGCATTGAGATCGTGATCGTACAGTGTGAGCGAAAATTATGGGCGCAGCATCCGAAAGGCGGACTTTTACTTCCAGAGTAGCGTCTTTATACTCAGCGTCCAGTCCAGTACGTACGGTCAGGTCCTCAAATCGTACGGACTTTGGAAAGCCGAGCAGGGAGACATCTCGAAAGATGCCGCTCATGTGCCATTGGTCCTGTGAATGATCAGATCATGATGCGAACCTGCTCATGTACTATAGCTTACCTGATCTTCTATGTATGACCCGTCACAGTACTGGTAGACCCGGACAGCCAGTGTATTAGGTCCTCGCTCGTTGGGTACATCCGTGACATCGAATTACACGGGATTCCTGGCGCCTTGATGGTATCCAATGGCTCTCCCATTTACCCGGACATGGTAAGCCGAGTCAACGCCTTCGAAGCGGAGTCGGTGTTGTTGATCTCTCAGCTCAGCTGGAATCTCAAACTTCACTCGATAGCAACCACGTTGGTCGTCTGCCGGCGGAAATGGCGGATCGACCCCAAATGGATAGGCTACATTTGTGTATATCTGCGGACCTCCGTGTCCTTGGAGTTGCCACATACCAGGGACAGCTACGTCTGTCCATGCTGAACAGTCGAAGTCTGGCTGCTCGAAGTTGTCGGGTGCGTTCAGCGGGCTACTGGTCACCAGCAGTCTCCAAGTTCCTGAAAGCAGATGAGCCCTGGATTTGGCGCTGTTGTAGGTCAGAGCGTCTGCCACACTCTGATGTATTGCGAAGGGAGCTCCACGCTGCTCTCCGGACAAAACCAGATCGAGATATGTCCTGAGACAGTCGAGAAGGCCGCACTTGAGATTACTGATATGCACCAACATTGCCTCAGTCAGAAGTTGTAGGATGTTGGTATGCCATCACTCTTGCCTTACAATTGCCGCATCGCGATGTGGGCATCGACGTTAGCTTGACATACTGCTCGTCGACGTCTGTCGAAAGCATATGTCCACATACGGAGCTGCTTCTTTTCACAGTCGTTGCCGTAGCTACGGCCGAACACTCGAGACGGGAGCTGGGTTGGTCATGAATCTCACCATTTCTCTCCGCACTTCGGCGCAAATGACTCGTGTCGGAACACGCCGTGGCCACGAGACGAGCTAGGTTAGAACCACGACCACTGCGACCGGAGAGCTTGATTTGAGAGTTCTGCCGCGACTGACCTGTACCTGCCCGGCCTTTCTCGCTTCTCCATCACCGATATGGACGTTGATAAGTCGACTGCAGATTTCATGTTCAACCATCAATGTTTGCCTTGATGCTCTGCAGGCGCTCTTCTGGCAGTGAGGAAGCCAGGCGTCCTGCCAAGTCCTATTGACTTGGTCGGCCAGAGCTCGACCATTGGTCACCATACCAGCTCAACCCCGCCTGGAGTGCAGAATACGAAGTCTACTAGTACTGCTACTACCGAGGCTACTACTACACATTGGCCAATGTGGTGAAATCTCGCTATCGAATTGACTCTGTTTCCCTGCACTTCCCGGATCACTTGCCACGCGTGCTCCATCGCCTGGAAACCTTCAGCATCGGCTATTGAGCATCGTTCCAAGCCGAACCGTTATATACCGCGGTAGAGGCGCGGACTCCTATGACCCTGTCCGAATCTGGAGGTGGAAGGAACGCCACTCCTGCACGCCTAGGCTTGGGCAGAGGTTCACAAGTCAGCGACCACACCTTTCCCGACATTATTCCGATCGACCACGTAACAACAAGCATCTGAGCCCTGCAAAGTATCATGTTCGTCGTCTGGAACATGTGGAGGATGATCGGGGAGTGGGCTGTCCACACAAAATGGTATTAACTCTAGAGACCTGGGGTGTCCGGAGACATGGGGAAGATACATAAAGCACCCTCTCCACCTCACCCTCCGATATAGTCGTGATCGTCCACTACTGAATCCCATATTCCTGCTCTGCATATTCCCTTCTCACATTCACCAGCGACCATGGATGAGAAGCACAACAACCCGCTGGCTCGGGAACTCAGCAACGCTGACGCCGACTATGACACGCAGAAAGGACCTGCCGTCAAGGAAGCCGTTGTCGCCTCGGTGGCTCTGGCCGCTGCACACAATGCCAACAAGCCGTCTCTACTGTCGGCGAACATGCTGAAGCTCTACTTCATCCTCGGCATTGGCTACCTTGTCTCTACCATGAACGGCTTCGACAGCTCGTTGATGGGGTCGATCAACGCCATGCCCAGCTATCAAAGGAGCTTCGGCCTAACCGGTGCCGGTAGCTCGACCGGTATCATCTTTATCATCTACAACTGTGGTCAAATCGCTGCCTTCCCGTTTTGCGGCTTCTTTGCGGATGGGTACGGTCGCCGTGTCTGCATTTTCGCCGGCTGTGTTCTTGTCCTAGTCGGTACTGCAATTCAGGCGTCAGCCCACGGCATGGGTCAATTCATCGCCGGACGTTTCCTACTTGGCTTCGGTGCTTCTATTGCCAGCGCCGCTGGTCCCGCGTACACTGTGGAGCTCAGCCATCCAGCATATCGTGGTGTCATGGCCGGCATGTACAACAACTTCTGGTGGCTCGGGAATATCTTGGCTGGATGGGCAACATACGGTACAAATGCTCACCTGTCTGGTTCTTCGTGGGCATGGAGGACCCCGACTATCGTGCAGTGCGGTATGCCGGCCGTCGCAATGGCCCTGATCATGTTCTTCCCTGAGTCGCCACGATGGCTCATCATGAAGGACCGTCGAGAGGAAGCCACAGCCATCCTCGCGAAGTACCATGCTGATGGCGATGAAAACGCTCCTATCGTTACGCTGCAGGTCAATGAGATTGTGGAAGATCTGTCTGCTACTCAAAGCGAGAACCCATGGTGGGACTTCAAGGAGCTCGTCAACACACGTCCCGCTCGATACCGTCTACTCATGGTCATTCTCATGTCGTTCTTCGGTCAGTGGAGCGGGAACAATGTCGTCAGCTACTTCATGCCGGAGATGGTCAAACAGGCTGGTATCACCAGCACTTCTACCCAGCTACTCATCAACGCCATCAACCCAATCTTCTCCATGGCTGCTGCCGTGTACGGTGCGACATTACTTGACAGACTCGGCAGACGCAAGATGCTCATGTGGGGATTGACGGGAGGACTCGTCGCTTACATCTTGCTCACTGCTTTCACCGCCGCTTCCGAGACAAACAAGAATTTGTCGTATGGCACGATCGTTAGCATCTACTTGTTTGGCATATTTTTCGCTTTTGGCTGGACGCCACTGCAGACCCTCTACGCAGTCGAGTGTCTGGAGAACAGGACTCGCGCGAAGGGCAGTGGTCTTAACTTCTTGTTCCTGAACGTCGCCATGGTCGTTAATACGTACGGCATCAGCGTAGGAATTGAGAAGATTGGTTGGAAGCTATACCTCGTATACATCGTGTGGATTGTTGTTGAGCTGGGTAAGCCATGATCGTTCTAAGGTGTCATTCTCATAATTGCTAACGAGACTCGTCTAGTCACGATCTACTTCTTCTTCGTCGAGACTGCCGGCAAGACGCTCGAGGAGTTATCAGGTATCTTCCAGGCGAAGAATCCTCGCAAAGAGTCCACCCGCAGAACCAAGGTCGGGTTGGACGCGGAGGGACACGTGGTTCATGTTGACTGAAGGGCGTTTGAGACTAAACAAGATGGCATATCGATCTGTAGATATCGCCGAGTCATCGTGATGCCGCGCAGACACAAAAGGTACTATCATGCTACCATGATGACCACCGATACTGCTAAGCACACGAATGTACTTCATCAGCTCGCGTCTCTCAATTCGTCAATGTCCAGGCATCTCATATATGAGCATGAAATCCTTCGTATACCCTTCAAAGAAGGCAGCAAGCCCAGTCTGACCCTGCTGCACCTCCTCGAATTGTCCAATGAGCTGCTGTGCGCTTGTGCGAATGTGTGGAAATGTAGTCCGATGCACAAGCAACAACAGTGCCTCCACAATTCCCACGTGCGTGGTGAAGCTCTTCTCCGTGTGGATATTTTTCATGCCGTAATACGTGCGACGAAGAGCGATGACTCTCTCGGCCGTTTCGAGGAGAGCATCTGGGTGTCTGTCGAAGGGCTTGAGGTTGTCGGGATCCTGTAGGCTTTCTGCGATGAAGCGCTTGCAGGAGAAGTAATGTGACTCGATGATCAATGCTCGAATAGCATCAAGAATCTGTTCGGGACCGAGCTTTGCCCGTGCGACTGTAGCTCGGTCACCTCGATGGATCGCAGGATGGTGTCTAAGGTAGTCTTTGGTCGCTGCCCTCCAGCTCTTGATGCTGCCTCTGAGGACATGCCACTGCTCGATGACTCGCAGCGGTACGTCGGTCAATGGCTTGTAGCGATATTGCGCGTTGCAAGAGATGAAGCGCCACATTTCGTGGCATATGTACATCCAAGACTCCATGGAGTCGTGCGGCGAGATGATGTCGGCTGATGGTATCCAGTCCGGCTGTATGTATCGAGAACCCACGGGATCATGATTTACGTTAAGGCGTGGGCCACGATCAATGTCTTGCATGGTAGACTCTATGTCGAGTTGGACGAACATGACTGTCAGGTCGTGTATGACATCTTTGTCACCCTGGAGCGCAAAGGCGGAGGTGGAGTAGATTTGGGTTCGTGCATCACGTAAGATGGAAATTCCAGTTTGCAGATGTATAGCAGCAGCCTCAATGTCTCCAAGGACTCGAGAGAACGCGAAGAGAAGGATACAGCAAAGGAGAACGAGCTCGTGGGAAGGGATTTTCGTCCGTGCCATGTATTTGCGTAGCGAGCCAAGCGCAGCTGCATGATCAGATAGCGTCGATGTAGACACAGTTGCTGACGTACAATGATCTAGATGCGCATTGCCTAATGCGATGAGTGAGTGACGCACGATCGTCTCGGAGTGGCTGGCCTGCAAGACTAGTCGATCCCAGAAATGGCCAGGCAGATACCCAGAGAGATCGACGGCACCATGCGTACGGAAGTAGCTTATCGCTGTGGCATCCCGTGAATGCAAAGGCGGTCCTGCAAATGAGCTGAACCTGAACAAAAGACACGCATCGTGATAGGCCGTGAGCGGTGGAGTGACTTGCTCATCGTACTCCGCAGATGCTAGACGTGCGCATGACGAGCAACACGGTTTTGCATGGTAATTGGTAGAGCTACTGGCTACGTTGCCCCGAGAAGGGCAGCGCCTGCATTCCGTTGCCGCTCTCTGAGTTGCCACCTTGGTATCATTCGACACCTTGAATCTGATCTGTACCGGAAGCGGGTGCTGGCCAGGAGTACGAAGAACACTAATATGCGGTTTCGATCTCAGTCTCGGTTGTGCATTTCTGTTCTTCACGCGGTTCGATGCCGGATCAGTCCTTCCCGCTGGTCCCTTCACCTCCAGAAAGCAATACTGTTGCGGCTTGCCAATCTGCGCCATAAGCCTGGCCGTGTATTTTCAGAAGCATGATCTACAGCTTCAGTCAGGCGTCCAGCCGATGGGTCCTGATGTAGCTCATATACTCCCGGCATATATGGTCAAGACGAAAGACACCTCGTTCGCTTGGCGCTGACCTGCTTCCTATTGTGGTTAGCACGGAACGAGGCCAACGCCAGCGACCGTGATCAGCCATGGCAGACGTTGGCGATGATCATCATGCCAGCTAGACTGCAAGATCTCAACTCTATTGGATGGATTCGGAGCAGTTTGAGGTTGTGGCGTCAGCACGACGTGGCAGAGTGCAGTGAAGTACACACCGAGCGCGGAGTTTTCTTCAGGTTTAATATCAAGCTTTTGCACGTGAAGCAGAGTTTGGGTTTCATGTTGATGATGGCAGCACCCATCCGCAAGCAGGAGCAGTACAGACGTCTACCTCGTCCTTCGTATCTACTGCAGCGCGTGTCCATACTCGAAAGCATTATTGGGCCTCATGATGATTCAGTGCTAGAATGTGGAGATGTCACTTTCGCTGTTGATGATGCCGTAAGGAGCGAGCGTGACCATTACGTACGTCATCAATCAGAAGCCTGACGCCGTGGAACAGCGAGTCTGGTTGTGACGCCCTGATGTTCAGCGCCTCCAACGAGGAGATATGGACACAGAGAGGAAGTGGCGCATGATAAGACATGGACGTTGTAAGAAAAGCCCGGGAGGCTATCAAAGGTGGCCACCACATAGATGACGAGCCGGAGCTGCCGGGCTTTAGCGACAATGCCGCCTTCAACAAGGATGCATATCCCGATAGCGAGCAGGACACGAGGTCGAAGACACAAAAGGTCAAGGACAAGGTGAAGTCGATCAAGGACGCGACGGTACATCCACGCGCCAAGGCGCAACGGAAGTTTACGCAGCACATCAAGATCAATGAGCAGCCGTGGTTGGACAATCAAGGGTCCGCGAACGAGGAACTGTTTGAAGCTCACGATGCGCTGGATGGGGCAAAGGAAGTGGTGCTGCCGAACTTGCCGGACGAGGAGCGCGCCACCAAGGAACATGCATTACGAACACGTGTTCAGGCGGTGGAGGAGCAAAGGATGGAGTTGCAGATCGCTTGGCATATGGATCGATACGTGAGACGCGTGCGAGCAGTCAGGCGACCGCTAGTCTATCCGCGGCAGGAGCGATACCGATATTATGATGCCGGAGGAAAGTACGAAGGGTTGCAGTGGGTGAAGTGGGTTGGACATGTCAGTCTTCACCTACACCGAAACACCAAAGTGCTTAGGCTGACTCGTTCTTTCTAAGCTCGCGCTTTACGGCTTCCAGAACTGCAGTCTCCAATACATCGAACCGACAAATGCCGTAGCGTATGACCGCGACATCCTCATCCGCCGCATCGAGCGTCTCGTGCTTGCCTCCGAGGCCTTCCAGCTCTGGTGGATGCGGGTGCGGAATGTCTACACCTGGTCGGATCCTTGGCTCACGACAAAGTGGTTCATACTGTATCTGGTCCTGCTCAAACTCAACTACATGATGAGCTTCTACTGGCTCTACCTTCTGTACTCGGTCGTGACCAATTTCGACGGAAGACATAGTCGAGGCTGGATGAAGGACTCCCACGGTCGCGCCACAAAGTCACGGAAACGTGCAAACATGATGTCGGAGCTAATAATCCGCCACGGCTCTGATGCATGGGTAGAGCCCTTCCTAGACGAGTTTGGTCCCTGGATTCAGCTTCAACTCAGCGACTTGTGCGATTACCTGGAGATCTGCGCAAATTACTACGACTGGCGCAATCCCACGTCAGTTGCTTGTACATGCTTTGCGTATGTCTGCCTCTTCCTGATAAGCGCCATCCCAAGTCTGGACTGGTCGATTCGAGTCTTCTGGCTATCTTGTGGGCTCTACTTCTTCCTCAGCCGTCCCATCTCAACGAACTACCCACGTTTCCGACATGTGGTCGACCCCATGAGGTGGATGTATTGGGATAGCCCAACCATGTCTGAAGGGGGCTTTCGATATCTGCGCGAGCAGACCACTGCGTCGCTCAACCGGCCCCTTGATCCACAATTAGAACTCGATGCACGCGAGCATGGGAATCCGGATGACGAGGACGACGAAATGGAAGTCTTCTTCGATTGCTTGTCAACGCCACACACCGCAGGCGGAGACCTCTTGCCCAAGGACTCTGGGAAGGTTGTCAAAGCATTTTCGGCACGATGGAGCGGTAGTCTGGGCCGTCTGGAACTCACTCGAACCACGGCGCAATTCGTCCCCACCTCAAGATTGCAGCGCAAGCGCGAGATAGTATGGCAGCGACCACTCTCCGACATCCTCGAGGTCCGCAAAGCAGTGCAGTCTCCTGGTAAATTACCAAAGATCACTACCAAATACAAAGAAGCTCTGAGCATTATCTGGACACCTTTGCAAAATAGTAGACTGGCTAGCACAGAAGAACAGCCGAATGAAGTATTACTTCACGACAAGGATTCCGGCGAAGAATTCTTCTATGGTATGACTGAGGACAAGCGGAATGAGGCTTTCAACGCGCTGGTAGGACTTGCGTCAAGCGAGGCGAGTGTGCTCTGGATGGAGTTGCCGCCGGAGCCCGAGTGGCAGATGAGGGTTCACTAAGTGGTATGCAATTAAGACGTCCGAACAGCGGTATGAACAAGCAGGCCTGAGAAGGCTTTCCAACACATGACCCAGTCCCGTTTGCATAGTTGAATACCATTGTCATAGCACCTTGTGGACTGTGTGAATTAATTCATAACACAACTACTAGGCGTACACCTACAAACGAGAATTTACGACCTATACTATCGTTATTCGACCTACTGAAGATTTGTTAAACGTTTACGTATTTGTTACGGACACTGTGACACGATTAGTGGGATAAGCGAGTAGACAGGAAGCTAGGAGCGGAGGCTTCCGCTCCTACAACTAATACGACTAACACTCCTTCGATTAGTCGGATCAGACACCACTAACTAAACTAACCGCGCTACGATTAGTCGGATTAGTAGGGACACGAATCTCCTATATATATAGAGTAAGCGTTTCTTATATAGGTAGTTCGTGTTTAACCTAAGTTACTAACCCGCCGAAAGGTCAAACCTTAGAGTAGTTACTTACCCGACCTATCGCTTAGAACTTACTCGTCTAACGAGCTCTAACCCCCTTATACCGCAGGTGCATAACATTTTAAACACCCTTATAGCAAGTAAGTACCTTAAGCAAACAAATAGCTCCTAATAACGAAAGAGACGTTAGTATAGCTTCGACCGCTCGAGCTAGTGCCTCTACTAATAAAGATAGGACAAAGTATTCCGCTAAACCGGACTTCTTCTATAGGGATCGCAACAAGCTCGATAACTAGTTAAACTAGATTATGCTATACTTCTCCCTTAAAGGTATTACAAGCGAACAACGACGCTGCCGCATCGCAGTATCCTACCTTCGAGGCGAAGCTTAAAGCTAGATACGTCCTAAATTAACTATAGTTCTACTCGAGAACAGAGACCTAGACGGGATCTTTGCCGACTTCTCGGAGTTCGCTAAATAGGTTAAGGGAATCTATAGACTTAGTAATAACTAACAAGTCGCTATCCGGAACATCTAACACGTTACGTAGAAGGCCTCTATATCCTAGTACACCGCTAAGTTTAAGGAGGTCTCTACTCGTACTAGATAGGACGGCAATGCGTTAAGATCTATGTACTATCGAGGACTTAAGGATAACGTTAAGGACGAAGCTTATAAGATATAGAGGACGCTAAGACACCTTAGAATACTTGTAGGAGGCTACAATTAAGGTAGACGATATGCTCTACGAACGATATATAGAAAAACGCAATACTAATTAGGACCGCGGACGAATTAGCTATACTCCCTACGGCCGGACCGGAGGATAGCAACGTCGCGACCCTAACGCTATAGAACTCGACGCTACTTAACGCAAGTTTAGAGGAAGCAAACCTAATAGAGCAGGAGCTAAGGGCAAGAACCACGCCTAGGGTAAGAAGCAAGGACTAAAGTGCTATTCGTGCGGAAAGGAAGGACACTACGTACGAGACTGCCGTAGCCGCAAGGTGCAACTATAGCAGAACTATAGGGCGGATCTTAGGGAGGTTAACGCTATAGAGATCAACGTTATAGAACGACGTAATCTATTCGCCGAACACATTTAGGAAGCTATTAACGCTATTTAGACGGGAATGTACGTTAGTAAGGAATTAGCTAATAGCAACGCTATACGACAAACGTAATCCGAGATCGCCAATACGATAGGCTTAATAAAGAAGCGACACCCTAATCGTAAGGACGAAATCATCGAATAGGAGAACAAGTTCCTTAAACTACTCGGAACGACCTCTACGGACGACGTCTACGTTATCCGCGACACGATAATAAAGATCGGAGAAAGCGTCGGAAAGGACCTAGATAACGAACACAAACAACTACATTAGACAGGGTGCTACAACGACTCCTATACGACTTACTACTCGAGTAAGGCAGACTTAGGATAGTTCCCGAGTAAGCCTCGTCGAGAGTTTAA